TCTGTGTGTTATCAGAGAGCAGATATAATACGGGAGTTTACCCAACAAAGCTTTATAAATAAACGTGTACCAATGACTGAGCCTCTTTACAGTAAGCGATGGCAAACCTGCCTTGCATACAGGGTACAGTGATGAGTAAGTGCTTTACAATTTGTGACAAATCTCAGTGCACTGTGATAGGCGGCATCTAACTTGTTCAGGCAATAGGCAGGTGTATTCATATACAACAAATCACCATAGTCCAGCACAGGTAAAAAGGTCACAGTGACTAGCCTTTTCCTGGCTTCAAAAGAGAAACAGGACTTGTTCCTGTAAAAAAAACCTAGCCTAACCCTCAGCTTTTTAAGCAGATTATTGACCTGAAGTTTAAAAGTGAGACAATCATCAAGCCAGATACCAAGGTATTTATAACAGGTAACCACTTCAAGTACTTGTCCTTGCATAGTAACAATATCTAAAACAGGCTGAGGTGTATTTTTAGCTTTTGAAAATAGCATTACCTTGGTTTTTATCAACATTTAAAAGAAGCTTAAACTCAGCGAGCTTGTGTTATGGATTCTAATTTAGAATTTAGAAATCACATGTAATCTTTATCTAAATGGTAAAGAATGTATTAACTAATACTTGAAATTAAACTCCAGTACATAATCGTAGTTCTGACTAAAATGTGTTATGTGATGCCTTTTTGAATTATTCCTAATGTGATATGCAACAATTTATGCCCCGGCCACACGAGGACGAAAACGGTCGTTTGCGTTACTGTTTAGTGTCATATAGACCGTTAGGCCACACGAGGACGACCGAATACGGCACTAAACGACTGCGTAAACGATAACGGGTCCCAAGGTGGATAGAACGGCATACGCAACGCTCTGGGGGGTCCAACGGCTCCGTGTGTACGCCCTATACGATCATGTTCTGATAATGATGAGGCAATAGCCCCGCCTCTCCCCACCTCTGCTGCTCACCCCCGCGTCAAAGTAAACTGCACACTGAATTCAGATTATTTATCTTTCTCTCGATATGGACCTAAACGCGAGTGAAGTCTAATCTGACAGGACGGAGACACGCAGCTCTGCTTACCTGCAGCTCCTCCCGCTGTGATGCGGCGGTGAACGGAGTAAAACACACATTTCAAGTCAGATCATCACCCTTAGCTATTTTAATTACCTCTCAAACTACCTAAACTAGATATAAATATGTTTATTTTTACAGTTGGCCGGGTCACTCATTACTGGATCAGCTGCTGCATGAAACAGACACTGGCGCTGTCCGAAGAGAGGGAGGAAAAAGAGAGGCTGCGTGTATTTTATTATTATAATATATAGATTCGTTATTCATTTGTTTTAAAGCTCAATAAATAACAAAGAAGACCTTTGACCGGCACTTTTATAATTTTGTCGGAAGGTTTAAACTTTAATACACGTTGACTGGCGAAAAACTCTGCCCGGTTCCCTCGGCCTCCACCGCGGAGAATAAACAGAAGGTCAACCATGACAACCATGCTTCTTCGCTGCTTTTGTGGAGGAAGTTACAGCGCCACGTACAGGCTCCTGCATATGTACTGCAGCTTCTCCAGCGGTTGGAGCTAAACGGAGCGGTCTCGTGTGGACAGACACTATCCGGATGACTATTGCGTGTGGACGGAAGCTTTTTTGCGATTGCGTTTGCGTTAATCCTATGCGTTTAGCCGTTTTCGTCCTCGTGTGGCCGGGGCATTAGTACAACCAGCAGTGCGCTGTTGTAATTCTCACTTCCATCCACCAGAGGGAGCTATAGTAAATCTAACTCCTATTTAATAGAAATAGATTTTAAAAATAACTTTTTGTAATGGCAGGAAAAATACAGTAATTCTGTTCAACTAGCTTAGCAATTATAGCATCTAATCACCCGTGAACAATGGAAACAATAAAACAAAAACACGCCAAAACACATGATGAACACTGATTTGAACAATCAGCCGGTCAATTTGGATAACTTGTACTCCAAAAGCTGACTCAATACACTACACAGTAGTTTAGTGATACAATAATCATTTTAGCAAACACAAAATTCCGCAATGTACCACACAACAACACTATTTATACCAACTATTCGGGCTAACTAAACCTGGTTTAGCAAAATGGACGCTTTTCCAATTTAAAGGGCCCATGTCATGCTTTTCCGGTTATTACCCATCCCCTCGTGTGTTATGAAGGTTTGTATGCATGTAAATGGTCTGCAGAGTCAAAAACCCTCAAAGTACACCCTGTAGCGAGTAAAACTCTAACACAGTCTATGCTGCCCCAAAACGCCTCGTTGGAGATTTCTCATTTTCCATTGTTTTCTTCCTGGGTACTGTGACGTGTGAATACCCAGAGGCCACACCCTCTGCCAGCATTTCACCAAACAAAGCTTCCCAAATCTTTCAGCGATTCATGCCGGATATGTACAGCGTAGGGCACTGAAGAACGATGCTGTTCCTTTGTTTGGACCAGTGGGAGATTCGGGTACACAACCTGTAAGTATTCATTGTTGTTTGTGTATTTATGATGTTTAAAACAAACAAGGTATCTACCACGACTGTTTAAATGGGTAAACGTTTTTTGGGCTGCTAAATTGGGATTGCGGAGAAATGCTCTCCGCAGACCCTCTCACAGCGTTATAAACCTTTTTCTTACTCAATATCAAGCCACACTTATTGTTTTTGCTTCGGCTGTGAGTGTTTGGATAGAAACAAATTAGTTCACACAAATTTTTTTGCAAATACACTTTTTTACAGTGGCAAGTGAAAAAGTATCTAAAAAATTGCATTTGCAAACAAATTTGTGTGAACCAATTTGTTTCTATCCAGGCTGAATCAATTCACCAGGGGCCATCTTCAGACTTAAAATGGTTTGTAGTAAGACCTGATCTTGTAGGATAGTGTGTCTGCAGAATGCTTTAAAACACTTACGTAGTCATGGCGCGGAGACCTGCAGGGCAAAACGGTGGGTCACGTATTGTAACCCAGTTATATAAGCACAGGCGGAGCCCTCTACTGGACTCTATGGGTACTACCTCTCGCTGAAGAGAAGTGTTGGATGACTGGAACGGGAGGCCTTATATACGGTGGGCTTGTGCACGCATTCGGGTAGGCCCGCCCCGGGGGCGGCTACAGTTATAAATATCTCAGTAAGTGAATGCTCGCAGTATGGTTGAGAGGTAGTACCCATAGAGTCCAGTAGAGGGTGGAGCCTGTGTGAGACATAACTGTTCCAACATGGCGACTTACACTGGGAACTTCATAGCACAAACTCACAAATGTGTATAATTTGAATTTTTAATAACCTATGCATGTTCAGATCACCTGTCAAACCGGAGAAAAAAAGATATATCAACAGAAGGCAAGTCTTAGACACGTGCGACCCACATACAGCATCCACTGCCACATATCAATCATTAAAAAGGCCCTCCACAGCTGTACTTCGCTGATGTTTAACATGTTTCTAGTAGAATCTATCCCCATGTAGCCTACTGCTCATGAAATTGTACAACAGTACTGACAGGACTTTCGATCTTGGTAGGTCAATAATGCTGTTTAGGAGGTTAAAGACCAAGACTAATCTTTGTCAAAGCAAATATAAGTATTATTAGCTAATGTTGTTTGCTAGTGCAGTTAGCCATTTTAGCCGAGCATTGAAACAGCGTGTAGAGCAACCATATCTTACATTTTACTTGGTGCATTAGAGTTAAAATGAATTGTTGTTTTACAATAGTCGTCAAGATTAACCGTTTTTGTCTGTTTGAATTTGCTAGCTTTGAGGAGAGCATATTAATTGTATGTTTTGTAAGATAGAGGGGTACAGTGACGTGCCCATACCCAAATGGACCCATTGGTCCATAATCCGAGTAACGTAACGGCTCCACGGATTTGGACCAAAATGGGTCCATTTGGGTATGGGCACGTCACTGTACCCAGGAAGAACACAATGGGAAAAGAGAAATCTCCAACGAGGCGTTCTGGGGCAGCATAGACAGGTATTTTCTGTGTTCGAGTTTTACTCACTACAGGGTGTACTTTGAGGGTTTGTGACTTTGCAGACCGTTTACATGCATAAAAACCTTCATAACACACAAGGGGACGGGTTATAACAGGAAAAGCATGACATAGGACCTTTAATAAAACAAACGCATGTTAAGTGAAGCTTATTCATTCATGTATTATTGACAATTCACGGAATGTGGTCCATTGATGTTTAAAGGGAGATGTGGACATCCTGTCAAGTTAGTTACAAAAGAAGCTGAAGTAAACAACGGGCTTAGATATTTACTTTCAAAATAAAAGCATGACAGAGAGTGGAATTTAAAATCTACAGAAGTGTCTAATATAATATGACATCCTTCCAAGCTTTCTGTAAAAGCTTGTTTGGTCTTTGAGATTATCCCAGCCTTTTTTAATGCAGCCATTGTTGAGTGTGTTTACTGTGGCTTTAAAGTGAAAATAAACATTTTTACATTAAAAAATGCAGGATAAACGCTCAACGCTGAAGCCCATTGTATTATGTTTAAAGCTTTCGAAAGGCTAGTAGGCAACTATTGTGATCAGTTTTTTTGTATGATTTCCATTTTCAAGATCAAGAATTAATGTTTATGCTCAACTCTGCCAAAATGTTGGGATCACCAAAACTATTCTCATTTAAATTTCAGGAACATATAACTTATGCATGATTGTAATTAACCTAACAACAGTATCCAATAATAATGTGTAATGCTAACACAGATTATCTTGCAAAACATGACTAGTTTTTCAGAAATATTTATTTTTATTTCAATTATGATGATAAGATTCGTTTTCATCTCAATTAGTCTACTGTATCCAAATTGATATGTTATATAACATAGCCTTTTACATGAAAATGCGATTCGAAGCCACTGATTCACTTTTAAATACATTAATATTGATAAGTACATGTTTTTTTATATATAACTTACTCGTAAAAAAAGTGAAAGTGCTAATTTGTCTTATTTTGAAAGTGACCGGAAGTGGTGCTTGAAATGCTTGTAGCTAGACGGCGAAGCGGTTTCTTTTGCGGAAAACACCCAGGACAGAAGCGGGACTCGGTGTACACGTCGAGGCGACTTTTTAAAAGCCTGTTTTTTTATTATTTCGTCAAGACTATTTCATTTATGTAAACCTGGCTGCTTTTTTCGGGAGTACTGAGGGAATCACCGCTGCACGAGGGAACCACCGTCAGCACCTAAAGGAGACGACATCTGTCTTCACATGGTGAGCATCAGCAGCCTGTAGATAATGGACATGGCTCTCACAGCATCTGGAAGAACGGGGACACATTATCCCCGTACAGCATGTCAGGTGAATGAAATTAGACACCACCATTAGAAACATTCTTATTGGACAAGCCGAAGTAAATATTAAACATAATCACATCATTAATAGTCAAATATAGCCTACACAATTTAAGGCTTAAGGCAAGCATTAAAACAGGTTTGTCGGATAAGTCAGTGGCATTGGAGACAGCTCAGGAAATGAGCTTATTGTGGAATTGAACAGTGCGGACAGTGAAGTGTTTTCACAGCCTGTGTATTCAACACAGCGCAACATGTAGCTAGGTAGGCCCGCAGCACAGAGCCCGGTCCATGTGACAGACCCTGGGAAAGCTGCTAATATAAGGAAACCTATTCAATTCCGCATACATATGACACATGCCAGCTCCAAACGTGTGTTTTTAATGTATTTATTTCTGCCAGCTGCCACACACGCCATTAAAATATGAAAATAAACAGCAGAGCAGATTTTGCCATGGATGCTGGCGTGACTGTGTCTCTGCAGAGAAGAAGGGCCAGCTGCAGGGATCAGACTGCTCTACCTGATCATCAGCTGCTGTTGAACATATGCCTCTGTTTGTTGAGAGATTATGGTGAATGTATTCCTTATTTGTTCTCTTTTATGCAGGCCATGTGAAGAGGGACTATGGAAGGCCAAAATGCAATAAACAGTCCAAAACAGAGGAATGATGGAGACAGAGGGAGTCGTAGAAACAGCAACACATTCGATCCGATTCTAATGAAATCAACAACTCTTGCTGCACAGCTGCCTTGTATAAAGGTGGAAAGGAGCTGGTGAAACGTTCATAGTTATAAAGCTGAATGAGGAAACTAGAGGTGCACATTATTAGGATCACGTTGCTGCAAAAATGAGTAGGCGTACTGGATGTGTGCATATGACACAGGACTAACTGAGTCAACTGAAAGCGCTGGAAGGAGTGACCACAGACGTAGCTATGTAAGAAGACTTCTCTCCGATGCACGGGTCCTGACAATCAGCACACTACTGTGATTCATGGCACATATGTGGTACCTCAGGGGGATACATCGGTTCATTAGCAGAAGAGAAACAAGCAGATGATGAATACATGAGATTTCTCAGCGTTCGTCCTAAGACAAACAGGTTTCCATTTTTTTGATTGAAGGAAGCACGGTTTGAATGGGCACCATGCCTAGGAACCGAGCCTTTTCCGAGCCAGAGTACTCTGCGGAGTATTCTGCAGACTGCTCTGTGACGCTGCCCTCTGACCCCGGGCAGGCGGTTGGGCGAACCCATGAGGTCACGGTTCGGAGCTCAGGATGCTGCCTCTGCCTGCCGCGATTCATGCGCCTCACCTTTGCACCTGAGTCTCTGGAGAACCTCTACCAGACCTACTTCAGACGGCAGAGACACGAAACCCTGCTGGTGCTGGTCGTCTTTGCCGCCCTCTTCGACAGCTACATCATCGTCATGTGTGCGGTGGTCTACACCACTGACAAGCTGGCTTCTGTTCTGGTGGCATCATTGGGACTGGCGGCCGATATTGTCCTCTACGTGCTGTGCCGCTTTGGGCTGCTTCCAGACCGCATATCGAGGCGGGTGGTGCCCTACGCCCTGTGGGTGCTCATCGCGGCTCAGATATTCTGCTACCTGGGACTAAACTATGCCCGCTTCCACCAGGCCAGTGACACGGTGGGCTGGCAGGCTTTCTTCAGCTTCTCTTTTTTCCTGACTCTGCCTTTGAGGCTGACACCCATCGTGCTCATCACCACTGTGTCCTGCGGGGTCCACACCCTGGTTCTAGGCGTCACCATCGCCCAGCAGCAGCAGGAGCACATCCAGGGGGCCGCACTCGGCAGACAGGTAAGAGTGGGATGGGAGGAAGGGAGGTGGTGTGGAGAGACAGTAATTGGTTGTCCTGAATGCTTTTACTAGTGTGACCTCATGTAGCGAGACCTCCACTCATCAAGAAGTAGGAATACAGTAGAAAAAGTTTCACATTTAGGATGGACTAATAGTTTTTTGATACCCAACTCTAGGAATTATCAACATTGATTTGTTTGACAAGTCATTTTATAATGACGTTTTGCCTTTATTTGATATTATGATATCAAAAGCGACAGGTAGGAAAGTTGGTGAGGGAAATGACATGCTCGAAAATAATGAAATACTAAGTACGTTGCTAATATATGGAACATATGTGCCTTATACAAGTTTACATCAGGTGTTGATTGGGTGTAATACAATTAGCGTAACAAATATTTGGAAAGGAGATCATCGGTGTATGCTTTTAATCAGCTCAGTAGTTAAAGTTAATGAATATGCAAGGAGTGCAGACTGGAAGAAGTCCACCCTTTTTCTCGCTGCACAAACCATGTGTGCATAATATAAGCATTGAATTACCGACATGGATAAGAAGATGCACATTTTGATGCAGAATGCTGTGAATTGCACAATTCATGGGCTGTTTAAAATGTTAAAAGCCCAAATATTCACAGAGCTGTTTATATTCCAGTGTTTTGCCATTGCTTTGGCTCAATGTCTGCCACATTTTCTTCTATGAAAGAAGTTTGGACTCAAATTCGATACAAATTAAAACAATTGTACAAATTAGGTTCACTAATGAATCCTATGTATCAATCATTGCATTTGGAGTGGGTGGGGTGACCTAAACTGTAGCAGTGGCCCATCGAGATGTTTGGCTTCACTTTTGGAGAGCTTCCATTTTCACCATCTTGATAGCTATTACGCCTCTGCAAATGGAACTACTTCTACTCTGAAAACCACCACAAAAACTGCTTATCAACCAAAAACCTCACAAACTCACACACATACATACATTCATGTACCACAGGGAGAAATAAAGGAGCTTAATTTGATGGGAACTTCCCCATGATACAGCTAGCAAAGTGCTAAAGAGTGGTGCTGAGGTGACGTATTTTTTTAGTTTTTGAAGTTAGCATCGCAAGGGCTGCCTGGACAGAAAGCAATGGGATTTCTCCATTGGATTCCAGTATGGTGCAAAGAAACACTAATAATAATTACCACGTTTTGTTCAGCAGGATAATCTCCTCATATTAACACCACTTTGTGATTTTTAAAGCGCAAATGACAAACAAAATAAATCACGGTCGCATGGTTGCTCATCACCACAGCTAGGTAGACACGTGTTGACCTGATAATGTTTAGTAGTTTATGTAGTCACTTGTTAGCAGTCACCAATTTTAAGACACAGAAGATTCACCAGTGGAGTATTTCATGCGTATTTATGTTTTAGAACAAAACGTTAAAATATCTTATATACCTTATTTCAGGTTTCTAACCACAAAGACTTTCGAAACGAGTGAACTGTAAGTGGTAAAACTCAAAGTAATTTACGGGGTTATAGGACTCATTCCTGCGCCGCCACCACTCAATGTTCTACATACTTGATTCCTGTAAAAAAGGAAGCTATGTATAATGGGTGGGACCGTTGTTGAAGTTGAGAGCCAATAGCCAATATTAGGCGGTGGTTTTGGCGCAGTGGTTAGAGCGTTGATCATCAGATCAAGGGGCGTTGGGGAACTCCAGTTCGAAACCCGCCTCGGCCGCCACTGCGTCAGGCCGTTGTGTCCTTGGGCAAGACACTCTATCCGCATTTGCCCCTGTGGGTAATGTCCACAGTATTGACCTTTACAATTGTAAAGCGCTTTGAGCACCTGTAAAAGCGCTCTAATTAAAAAATGTAATCCATTATTATTATTAATAGCGCTGAATACGCGTAACGTCCATCGACATGCAACTGGCATTGCTATTAGCTGACTGACAGGCAATTTGATGACTCGGTAATGAGGGTTTTTTCTTGCTGAATTTAGCTCTTGAAACCCCTGGCTGTGGTTGAGTCATCTGATAGGGTCGCTAGTTGCATCGCTAACTTAGCCAACTACCTAACAGCACATACAGTTAGCAGTAATACGCTCTTTAGCAACAAGTAAAAGTATCTGTCTATCACTCCATAAATATCTTGATACTGTATATGTGTTTGTCAAACTAGGTTTATGACATTTAATGACATTTTAATGAAAGTCCAAATGGTACCACTGTAGTTAAGGGCAAGAAAATACTTATGATAGCCAATGTCAAAACCAACTGTGGGTCATGTCATGCACACCCCTTTAAATAAAGTAAAGAGCTGGGGTAGGTAATTTTGGAGAAACCAGCTTGAGTGAGCTAGAATTTGAAAATACACAGCCGGAAAAAATCTGCCACTTCCTTACAGAGCCCCTCCTCCAACACACACGAATGCACACATGACCAATGAGGGCACGAGATAAGTTTGTGCACAGGTGGAAGGCTGACAGGCAGGTAGGCCATCCAGTTAAAGCACTTAAGATATTCATTGCTATCGGGATGTTAAGAGCATTCCATGGAATATAACAAGTGTATCTCGAGCCGGTTTCTCAAACGTACCTACCCCACCTTTAAGTTGTATGATATCTTATCTTATAACTGTGTGGTCCTGACTATACTTACCATAATGTAACTTGAAATAGACGTTACTGAACTATGTCAACATAACTGAAAGCTGAATTACCCATTTCATAAAATAGCTTGCTTATGCAGTAAAAAAAATTCAAATAATAAATCAAATAATCTGCAGCTACTATGAGTACTGCTTTGTGTCTAATCTTCACAGAGTAACTTGTTAAACAGGTTGTTCCATATTTACGCAGTGAGACTTCACAACCTACATGCATGATTTCTTCAAATCATCTGTATAAACATTGTAATTGCATAGAGCCACATGATAGTTCTCTAAGGGTAAGGGTATTTACTACTAAAGCAAAAAAAGACACAAACTCCATACGATGTCCTCCATCAGAGTAAAAGGTTTCTTATATACTGAAGTTGTGTCAGATGATAATGTGGTCACCCTAACGTGACTTCCTGTAGATAACAACACTGTCCTGATGCTGCTGTGTTGTCTGAAGCATAACACCTGTAATAACTTCCTGGTTTCATATACTGTGAGGACAGTCCGCTACAGGAACACCTCAGCAAGCAGGAGCTTCAGGACCAGGCAATCTGCCAATAGATCTATAGATGTGTACTTAAATGAAGGTGAAGCTTTCATCAGGGCGTGTGGTAAAGGAAGTAATATCAAGATGGTTCAGATTTACAAAAGAAAAAGTTATAGTTTGCTACAGCTTCATCTCAAATGTGTAATTATGGCAACGGCCAAATAAAAACGTTCAAAACGAGTTGTTTTTCAGCAGCAACACACACATACCAGCAAGGATTCAAGAGAAGAAGGGACCAACTGTATAGTCTGTTGGTGGCTGCTTAACATAAAGTGAATCCATTTGGTCTACACATACAGATTCATAAAGGCTTTTTTATTTGTTCTTGCCAATTGAAGTAGAATTTAGATTTCCTCCTGCACGTGTATTTGCCCAAATTACAAGCATGGAAAACGGCAGTCAGTGTAAATGTAATTCTGTCCTTCTGTTTAGACATAACATAACATGGAAGCATTGTAGCCAGACTTCTCCAAATTGCTGTAGTGTCCTATTATACCCTCAATGTGCATGTGTTCATTAAATGATGGACCCTAACTGTTACATTATTTTTTCCAGCTACTAGCCAACATAGTGATCTATGTCTGTGCCATCACTGTGGGCGTCATGTCGTACTACATGGCTGACCGCAAGCATCGGAAGGCCTTTCTGGAGGCCAGACAGTCCCTGGAGGTCAAACTGAACCTGGAGGAGCAGAGCCAGCAGCAGGTCAGAGGTCAAACTGAGCACTCTGATGTTTCCATGTGTCAGTTTAAAAACATTTTCACTGTGGGGGGGGGGGGGTTGTATATTTGTGCCCAAAGTCAGAACAGTTCTAGTATAATTTCAAAGTGTCCAGTGTTGGCTTTTATGGTATGAGCAAACAAATATTAATTATATTTAGAACAAGTCACCTCTTTTTACTCTCGCAAGGATCCTGGAGGGGGCCTGGGAGTACGCTTATCCGGTCTACATGTGTTTTGTAGACTTGGAGAAGGCGTATGACCGAGTTCCCAGGGAGTTACTGTGGGAGGTGCTGCGGGAGTATGGGGTGAGGGGGTCTCTACTCAGGGCCATCCAATCTCTGTACTCCCAAAGCGAGAGCTGTGTCCGGGTTCTCTGCAGTAAGTCGGACCCATTTCCGGTGAGGGTTGGCCTCCGCCAGGGCTGCGCTTTGTCACCAATCCTGTTTGTAATATACATGGTTCGGATTTCGAGGCGTAGTCGTGGGGGAGGGGGTCTGCAGTTCGGTGGACTAAGGATTGCACCACTGCTTTTTGCAGATGATGTGGTTCTAATGGCTTCATCGGTCTGCGACCTTCAGCACTCACTGGATCGGTTCGCAACCGAGTGTGAAGCGGCTGGGATGAGGATCAGCACCTCCAAATCTGAGGCCATGGTTCTCAGCAGGAAAACCGATGGACTGTCCACTTCAAGTAGGGAATGAGTCCTTACCCCAAGTGAAGGAGTTCAAGTATCTCGGGGTCTTGTTCTCGAGTGAGGGAACAATGGAGCGTGAGATGGGCCGGAGAATCGGAGCAGCGGGAGCGGTACTGCAGTCGCTTTACCGCACCGTTGTGACGAAAAGGGAGCTGAGCCAGAAGGCAAAGCTCTCTGTCTACCGGGCCATTTTCGTTCCTACCCTCACCTATGGTCATGAAGGATGGGTCATGACCGAAAGAACGAGATCGCGGATACAAGCGGCCGAGATGGGTTTTCTCCGCAGGGTGGCTGGTGTCTCCCTTAGGGATAAGGTGAGAAGTTCGGTCATCCGGAAGGGACTCGGAGTTGAGCCGCTCCTCCTTCGCGTCGAAAGGAGCCAGTTGAGGTGGTTCGGGCACCTAGTTAGGATGCCACCTGGGCGCCTCCCTAGGGAGGTGTTCCAGGCACGTCCAGCTGGGAAGAGACCAAGGGGTAGACCTAGGACCAGGTGGAGGGATTATATCTCTTCGCTGGCCTGGGAGCGCCTTGGGATCCCCCAGTCAGAGCTGGTTGATGTCGCCAGGGAAAAGAAAGTTTGGGGCTCTCTGCTGGAACTGCTACCCCCGCGACCCGACCACGGATAAGCGGGAGAAGAAGATGGATGGATGGACAAGTCACCTCTTTGTAAAAGGGTCAATTTATAGCCAGTTTATGTAGTCTCATAAAATATACATAACTATGAATCATTGTAATCATTGTTTACCTACTGCCGTCCTCAGTCAGAAAGAGTCATGTGTCCAATTTATGGTTACAAGCTAATAACTGCAAATCTACATTCTACTCAGAATGAGCTGTACTTGTTGTGTGCTAAAGTATTAGCATGCTAACATGCTAAACTAAATGTGGTTAACATTCTACCTGCTGCATGCATGTTTTGTTCGTCTTGCAATGAGGGTTAGGTAACCTGAAAATCAGCCTCAACTTGTTTATGAGTTGTGAGAATTGAATAAAAAATGTGCCTGATTTAACTAAGTATTACAGTTTTACAGCATCTTCATCCGGTCCTCTTTAGATTTGTTATTGGCCTATCATGCAGCTTGTGTGTGTGTCAGTTGGACGATTCTAATCACATGTTCACACAGAGGAGTTTAGGCTCCTCATTGAACCAATGCTAGTGTTGGAATGCTTCTATACAGCACTCCTTGGCAGTGCCTGATCTAGTTCCAACCCATCAGGGACTTGAACTGGTGACCCTCAGGTTCCCAAGCCAAGTCTCTACAGAGTGCCCTGCTGGTTTGTTTGGGCTGGTACTCTCAACTGTCTTCTCCCCTCCTCTCTTCACATCTGTGGCCACTGGGCATTCTCCAACACGACTATTTATGGAACAGATGTTTTGCCCCACGGAGGAGCAAGGGAGCCAGGAAAAAGCCAGAGAATGCTTATGGAGGAGAGTAAAGGAGAGAGTGAAGGTATTGTGAGAAGTGGAAAGAGACAACAAGAGAGCTGATAAAACCATGAGTGGGATAAAACTCTCAGAATACTAATGGAGAAGCCCGGGCTGCGGGGAGACAAGGGCCGCCAACCAATCAAGAGGCATCCGGTGGCTGCTGGTTAACATAGCAACGGGCCTCCTGAGACGTTGTCAGCTGTAATCACAGAGCAGACGCTGGTCGCTTCTCTGCCTCTCTGCCAGTTTTGATAAGAATATTGGAAGCTGCCCCCTCTTTCCATGTACACGGTGTGTGTGTTTGTGTTCACAGGTCCAATGTGCCTGTGTGTGCGATGAAGATTTTTTCTTTGTCATTTAAGTGTGTGTGTGTGGGCCTGTGTCACTGCGCAGGATCTCTGTGACACGCTGATGACAGTTTGATGCCATTCAGCAAAGAGTACACTCTGTACACCTTCTGTATTCACCAGCACGTACTCCTCCCTGATATCACTTTATTTGTGTTTTTTTTGTACAAGGAACTGAAACATGGCACCATCACCATTGCATTTGTTCTAGCTGTCACCTTTGTTTACACTATTTGCAATAGGAGTCACAGCAGAGAGTTGTCTGTTAGGACAGTTCCGAAAAAACATTCCGCAAAGCCCCTTTTTATTTCATAGTTGGAAAGGTTCCAACCAAACTATGAACGCTATAATAATTATTTACAAATCATCATTTAAGTTGAGACAAAGGGAGGGAAAAAATACTAATTACAGTTAATAAGTAAGGTTAATGCCTACAACATGTCAGCAATGATTGCTATCGATCAAAGATTTGGGGCTTTTGCGTTCTGTTTCTCTTTCTGAGACTGACTAGCTGAACAGCCAATCAGAGTGCTTGGCAGCTAATTCAACAGACAACTTAACATACTTAGTTGAAAAGGTGCCATCAATGGTGCGGGACCGGATAAACTAGATCCACAGACACTCACTGAAGGCCCCACATTGGCCCGGTGTTACACTGATAAAAAACAGGCACGGAGTAAGAAGCCTGCTAACAATGTTGTAAGCATTATTGACACCAGCTAAAGACCAGCCACAGTTCGTTGCTTTTTGGATGACATTATGCTGCAGTCAGGTCTGAAGTGATGCAACCAGAAACACAATTCAAAGTAAAATCATCAAGCTTGGCAGCTTCATGCTTAACTTCAATTAAAGCCAGTACACCGCCGCTTTCAGGCCTTTTGCTAAAGTAGGCCAACAACCTGTCTCAAGATATAAAATGGTTGTAATAACAGTTCCTGAAAGGAAAAGTGATTTTTGAAAGAAGTATGGTCCCTGTTTTTTCCTAAGCTGTGTATGATGTCCTCTGTCTCCGTCCTTCACAGGAGCGTCTGCTGCTCTCCATCCTTCCAAAGCACATAGCTGATGAGATGCTTCAGGACATGAAGAAGGAGCCCAGTCAGAAAGAGATGCAGCAGTTCAACACCATGTACATGTACCGACACGAGAACGTCAGGTAACGTGCATGATTGCTCAGTCTGATTGCTGTTCACAGATTCTAACCAACTTGTTCGTGGATGATCCTGTTAAGTTACTGTCGCAGCATGATATCATCACTAATGTCTCCTGTCGCCCTGCAGTATTCTGTTTGCAGACATCGTGGGCTTCACTCAGCTGTCGTCGACCTGCAGCGCTCATGAGCTGGTCAAACTGCTCAACGAGCTCTTCGCTCGCTTCGACAAACTGGCTGCAGTGAGTTTCATCAATTATCTCATTTACATCACGGTTACAAGAAATGCTAAATATTCCGATTTTTAAATGTTTGTATCCATCTTTTTTTTTACATTTGTGATTGTATTACGTATCCAGCTAATGGTGATAAAGCTTCTAATATTTAACTCAAATGATCATTTTATGTACAGATTTATATATCCAAAAACAAGTTGGGATGCTGGAAGCTGACTTTTGTTGTTGTTGCACTGCTTGTGCATTAAAAGACACCTATTATGAGTCCGATGCAGGAAGTGATAGGTTTACAAATGAATGAAGCAGAACTAGTTCTGTACTGTATCCGATCTGCCAAAGGCATGTCGATCACATGGACTAGATTTGTGCATCCTCAAAAACAATCCAAAAAGGAAAGGTCACTCATTCATTTGTAACGATACACGCTGAAAAAAAAGATTGCGGGTGTATTTATCCCTGCATTGGAAACATGTTGGCTCCATCTCTCTCTTCTTATCTTGTCTACCCGTCAGAAATATCACCAGCTGAGGATCAAGATACTGGGAGACTGCTACTACTGTATCTGTGGGCTGCCTGACTACAGGGAGGACCACGCTGCATGCTCCATCATGATGGGGCTGGCCATGGTGGAGGCCATCTCGTGAGTACAGGGGAGAGGAGAGGGACTCTGTTCCAACAGTCGGATGGGTTGGGTGGTCAACAGTTTGGAATCCACCACTGATAGACTGATGCTTTCTGTGGAGCACACTTGTGAAGTGCACAATGACAATTAAGCTGAAATAGATTACAATTTCATTTACTTTTGATGCCCTTTGTTGCTCTTCATGAGATATCTTAGAGACTTTGTTGAGAATGTATTGTAAAATGGACAGACGCTAGTTGTGGTTTTGTTTACTCTGGCTGTTTTTCTTAAACCATCCACAGGTACGTCAGAGAGAAAACTCAGACAGATGTTGACATGCGAGTGGGAGTGCACAGTGGGACCGTCCTGGGGGGGGTTTTGGGACAGAAACGCTGGCAGTACGACGTCTGGTCCACGGACGTCACTGTGGCAAACAAAATGGAGGCTGGAGGGATACCAGGGTGAGAACTCTATTTAGCACATGTCTTGTGATCAGGTGTTTCAAATAAAAGCACTTATATCCACAAAAATGTCATATAACATTTCAAAGTGATGTCTATGTTGCTTTCAGTCCATTACTTTGTGTTACATAAAAAGAAAACACCATTTGAATTATTGCCTTTAAAAATACATAGATCACACTTCAACAGACACAGCTCAACATTATCATTAGTGTTAGCATTAGCATTAGCACTAGCAACATTCACAGTGGATTCATCAGAAAATAGATGCTGCTGCTGGAGTCGTCGGTCATAACGTAGTATATCGTAGTTTGTTTTCTAAGGAAAGAAGAAGGCACACTGCAGCAACCAGACATTTCCACTCAGTGTTGTTCTTCCGTAACAGGTGACTGGGTTATTAAGGACATTTACATCAAATGCAAATGTGTCTTTGGCACTTGCAAATAAAACTACACTCACCGTACAGAGCACAATGTGCAGTTCACACAGAAAAAACTAACATTTGCATCTTAAGGTCAAAAAGTGGCAGTCATAAAGAAAATGCTAATTGGATTATTCTTTGACTGCCATGTAGTCCATAAGAAAATCCTGACTGATCAAGATACTCATCAATATCATCATTTCTAAGCGTTTGACCAATCACAACAGAGCTGGCCAGCTAACCAATCAGAGCAAACTGGGCTCTGGTTTTAGACAGAGGGTGAAAAGAGCAGTATGAGAAAAATAGTCCCAGTCACAGTAGAGGCACACAATACTAATATGAACATGACATTTAGCAGAATATTTCCTCTTTAAGGGGCTTTTGACCAAATTCAAACAGCAGCATTATACCACCATTTTTTAATTATTAGAAAATAACGATGCTATTATAATTTTACAGAAGCAGTTAACGCAATGACATTTCAATCTCTAACCCCCCCCTGTGTGTGTGTTGGCCAGGCGCGTCCACATCTCTCAGAGCACCATGGAGTGTCTTCATGGAGAGTTCGACACAGAGCCAGGAAACGGAGGAGACCGCTGCGACTACCTGAAGGAGCGCGGCATCGAGACCTACCTGGTGGTTGTCCCTAAAGTACCTGTGGGGAAGAACGGCATCAACGGTGTAGTGAGTCCAAGCTCCACACACCCACACTGCAAATATTTGGATATTCAAATGTTGGCCTCACATTCAGCCAGCAGATGCACAGGGACATTCATTATACAGGATGTAACATGTGAAATCACATTTAACTGTTAAACATACTCAAAGCTGGATTTAAATGTCCTTTACATTGATGCAAATAAGGAAGATAAGTTAAACTACTTTTTGTAGTAATGTGCTCTGTGTTTGCTTGTTTACATTAGAAGCTGTCTGTAACCTCGTCCAATGGAAACTCCCCTCTGTTGATTAACACCACAGAGTGTAACGGCAGCGTTAACACCGCCTGCACCACCCCCGAGGAACCAGAGGAACTGGACACAAGGGTAAACAACGTCACTTCTTCAATTACAGACAGAATGACATTAATATTAGTTGGTTGTTCCCAAATAATTCAAATGTTGTTTTGTCATTATAATAAATACTCGTTTGTTATAGGGTCACTAAATGCTTTTGCATAGAGTCTGACTTTACTTTTTGATGAACTTTGATACATGAATGGGTGCCATTCTCCATTTGCACACTGTCCTGGCTAATGTTAGCATATTTCTGTTTAGCTGCACCATATTCACCATATCTGGCTAGGGTAAAGGTCATAGTGATTACAATCAATATCCCTTGGGTAGATTACCATGAGTTGTTCAGATCATATTGATTAGATGAGACTATGACACCATCTTGTGTTCAGAGTTGGAAGAAGTACTCAGATAAGTCAAAGTGTAGAAATACTCTGTTACAGGTAAAAGTGTGGTATTCAAAAATATACTTAAATTAAAGTACAACAGTATCGGCATCAAAATATATTTAAAGTACCAAAACTGAAAGTATTTATTGTAGATAATGAAACATTTTCGGATTATAATTAGTGGTCCATTCGTGTGTTCATCATTTTTATTTTGCAGCTGGTAACGGTGAAGCTAGCTTTAAAAAAGGTATAGTAATCCATAAGAGTACATCATAATTCATTAGTTTATTTTTGTATTAATCATTTGAACATGCAAAATGACTAGTCAGTAATCATGTCATTTCGTCAGAGTACAATATTTGCTTCCAAATGGTAGGATAGTAAAAGTAGGAAGTAGCATAAAATACTCGATAATATAAATTCCTTCCGGGGACTTCAGGTGGTCAATCCGTCCTTCCCGAACCCCCGGAGGAGGCTGCGACTGCGGGACCTGGCAGAGAGGGTGATCGACGCTCAGGAGAACGAGCAGGAGCTCAACAAGCTGCTGAACGAGGCTCTGCTGGAGAGAGAGACCGTGCAGGCGTGAGTATCCTGTCATCATACTATATCAGTATCCCTGTGACTGTGCTGTTCACACTGTAAGAAACCCCAAAACATCTCTGTCCAATCAGGCGGTTTATAAGAATGACCAGACGATGACACATGTTGTTCTTTGTTTGAATTACTTGTTGCTAAGGTCCCATTTCTGTTCGTATGCAAAGTAAAGTTTGATAGCTGTGTTGACTTTGTTCAACACAATGCGTGTTAAGTGAAGTAGACTGCATCAGTGTTCCATGGTGTGAACCATTTTGGGGCATGAGATGACCCAAAACTGCAACATGTGTGATGTAATACCAATATTTGACATTTGATCTAATGCCGAGGCTCTCTTGTGTTCAGTCTGAAGGGGAAACACACCAACAGGCTCTCCCTGAGGTTTGTAGATCCGGAGCTGGAGACACGTTACTCCGTGGAGAAGGAGAAGCAGAGCGGAGCGGCCTTCTGCTGCTCCTGTGTGGTGCTGCTCTTCACCGCAGCCATGGAGGCCCTCATAGACCCCTGGTCAGTTCACACACTCTCACAATGTGGCCATCATACTCAATATTAGACATCTTTCTAAAAAGCTAAATGAATCGTACCTTCGCTCTCTCTCTTTGGAGTACCAGAGATACTTCTGAGATGTTTCAAGATGTGTCTGTGTGTTTGAAACAGGCTCATCGCAAACTACATCACCTTTGCAGTGGGAGAGGTGCTGCTGCTCATCCTGACCGTCTGCTCTCTGGCAGCCATCTTCCCTAGAGTGAGTTACAACGCAACTTTTAGACTGTTTTCACTACAGTAGCAGTAAACAGGTAGCAGATGTTGTGACTTCCTGCTGTGTCAGGAGGATCGTCTGATGGAGAACATATTGTGGCTTTCCTTCGGAGGGCCTGTTATGGGAATTACACTGTATATTCCGTTTTTTTAAAGTGGGAACATTGGTGTCAATGTCCTGTTAATTCTGGAGCTGCAGTCAGTAGAAAAGTAGTTAGGCTGCTTCGATCCAAGGTCAAAAATGCAGCATCTGGCCTACTGATGAACACGTGTCGGCAAACCTTTAAAATGTGTCTGGAGCCGCAAAACATTCAATTCAATTTAACACCTTAAACAGTTTTATATATAGTTCTACTATACATACAAAACCTATAGTTTGTTAATTAAAGTATAGAACTGTTATTACACTGGCATATGAAGGCCTACTTTGAATGAAAGTATGCCATTCAATAACAATATATCAATATTGTTCATGTTTCTTTCTCATCACAGATGATTGAGTATAATGCAGCTGAATAAATGTTTTCATTTGACCGTCTTTCCCGACATGTCTATTATCTCTGAACAAGTTCACTTTTTCTCGCTCCTCAGCTTTCTGCTGCAGCTCCTAAATCCATCATTTTCTATTTGTTTTTATTTATAGAAATGTACATTTAGTGTACAAAAGGCAGGGGTCAGAAACTCATAGCTGTAGTAGGATGTGATTCCGGTTGTTTTTATTTCAGTGTCACATTTTCACCTATAACTGCGATAAGACATGTTCTTAACCAAATATAGTCCACTGTTTTAATACATAGCTGTTTTGATTGTACAAAACATGGGCTAACATCACAGTAATATCAATGTCCTCATCTCTCTAAGAGGAAGCAAAGCAAATTGGCATATTTCCCTTTTCCACATTTGGAATGGACGTGAAGTGCTTTTGATCCTTCGTCATGGAAATACCGATGCATTGATTTCAGGAGGCGGCCGGTATCGAGTGCTGCTGTCAGCTCAGGTCATTCAGTGAGACAGTCATCACATGGACAACGCAGAGCCATTGTAAAGAAGGCCCGGGGCTCTTCAGTGTTTATCAATACCACATCAAATATCACAATGTCATCACGCCACAGTGCACATCACTGTCCATTAACAGTGATCATCTTCTCTGCCACAGCAGAATCAATGTGTCTCACTTGTCTTTTAGTGGTCGAAAGGCTAAAAAGTGCTCTAAAAAAAAGTATATTCACCATTTAAATATCAAACACCTGACCTTTTTATGAGTGGGGGTCCTGGGCCTCGTTCATGAGGCCAGTGGCTGACAGGAAGAATCTGTTCTTGTGGCGAGAAGTTTTCCTGATGAACCTCTTGGAGGAGAGTGGGAGTGAGAAAAAGTGCTTGAATCCCATCCCTATAAAGCTTGTAAATGGAATACAGCTTTAGAATGAAATGACTTGGGACTAAATGAACTGCAGCGTGAGAGAAACTATGTGCTGATACATTCTTTATTGGAATGCTGTTGGTTTCAGGTCTTTCCAAAGAAGCTGGTGTCGTTCTCCACCTGGATTGACCACACCCGCTGGGCTCGGAACACCTGGGCCATGGCGGCCATCTTCATCCTCACTATGGCCGACATCATGGACATGGTGAGCTGCTCTCTGCTGCTCCTCACAATCGCAGTGTGGGATTTGTGTTTATTCCTTGAGTGTCTTTTTGACATTAGTGAGCTTTACCCGTGCAGTTTGAGAAATGATCTTAATGATAGCACTGAGCTCATGACTTTCTGTCTCTCCTCGGTCCAGCTGAGTTGTCTGCCTCCAGCTCCAGACTCAGGCAGTACCACAGCGCCCCCCCCCCTCCTCCTCCTCCCTATCAGGCCCGGGCGGTTGCCTGTACAACCCCAAATACTACAGCTACATCGCCGTGCTGGCGCTGATGGCCACCACCATGCTGGTTCAGGTCAGCCACATGGTGAAGCTCACGCTGATGCTGCTCATCACGGGGGCCACGGGCATCGTCAACATCTACAGCTGGAGGGACATCTTCGACCGCTACGACATGGCCCGCTTCCAGGACTACAGGTGAGGCAGAGCCAGATCTGTGGAACACTTCCTCACACACCAAGTGTATCTGTAGATTCAAACGTAGCCTCGGCACCACTTCTTGACATATTATGCTAATTCTTCGGTTTCATACTTGTATTTCTATACTGTGACATGTTTCCTAGTTTGAATGTTCAAAAAGCTCTTTATTCTTCTCATACTGATTGGTTAGCTGGCCGGTCTGTTGTGATTTTTCAACCGCTTAGGCACGTTCTGCCCCTTATCGTATCAAGTGCAATGTGTTGGAGCGCTAGCCAATAGATAGAATAGATCACACAAGTGTTACATGGTGATGTCATGAGGAAGTAAACAAAGGAGTCCAACGGAGGCGTTCAGGCAGGAGGGAGTGTGTGGGAGAGAAACTCCCTCAAATACCTATTTAACACACTACAGGGAAGGACAAAGCATGATATGCTCTATTAAAATATTGTTGAAAGCTCAAAACGTGTAAGTTATACAGATGCTATCCATTTGTTGGTCTTGGTTGTTTCCTTTAAATGTTGCGGCCATCATTGTGGGACAGCATTACCTCCTTACCTTTCATAAAGTGAATATGATAATGAAGGAAGCGTAGAAGCCCCTTTCCTATCATCTACAAAATATGAACAGCTCTTATCGGGCTGCCACTCAGCTATATCCGGGTCCTAACCACCAACACTTTTGAACCACAACCTAACCATCTACTGAAGCAACACACCTGGGTGCATGCTCAAGTATTGGGGTCTTATATGTCATCATACTTACACTAACTGAATGTTAAAGATATGTAATGTTGGGGTCATCTAAAAGCTGGTATTACAGGAGAAATGTCAATTGTTAATGTTTCTTCTTTGCAGCACATACCTGGTGCCCTCCAAGTTCACAATGACAATCATGATCTTCATTATGATGGTCAGCTTCTATTATTTCTCCAGACATGTAAGTAAACTTCTATCGATGCATTTACAGAATATCCCAGAATACAGAACTCAAAAGTAACAAGTCTAGCAAAGTGGTGATGGTGTTACTACACTAGGTAGGATACGCTGTGTCCTCAGAGCGCTGTTGTTGTGTGATATAGAGAACGTTTTTTGAAAGGATGCTGAATAGTCTTGTTTTTTCTAAAGTCGCAGGAAACTTGATTTAGACCTATTGTTGTTGGAATACTGTGATGTACTGGGCTAAGCATTTAACATTGTCTACCAGCAATGTATTTAATTACTAATGAAAGTCTTATATTTGATATCTTATTCACAATTGAGACAAGAATGTATATTAACCTGAAGTAATGGACGTTGTGTGCAAACTAATGATGATGAACACAATATTCAAACATTCTAAATAGGAGTGGAAGAATGCCACAAATCCTCTTTACCCCACTTTACAACAACTCATTGTCCTTTACTTTAAACCATAATTGTACTAATGTTATTGTTCAGAATCAAACTATGGTAGAAATGTTGTTTTGATAAATAGCTTCCTGACATTGTGTCACTTAAAGATCCAAAGATGATTCATTGTCATTAAGCGACAGAGGGTTACACATTTGGCATTAGCATGGCTATGTGAGGGTATCGAGTATGAACAAGAGATCAGAAGTCATATCTGTTCACATGTACTGGTCAAACGCGGACTCAGTCCCTCTTGCTGCCTGCAGGTGGAGAAGCTGGCCCGCACCCTGTTCCTGTGGAAGATAGAGGTCCACGAGCAGAAGGAGAAGGTGTATGAGATGAGGCGCTGGAACGAAGCCCTGGTGACCAACATGCTGCCGGAGCATGTGGCCCGACACTTCCTGGGCTCCAAGAAAAGGGACGAGGTAAGACCCTCCTTACTATTCAATATTTCATCAACGTTCAAGTGTGTTCCTCAAACTCTGATGTCTTACTCGACACACTCTACCTGACTCTTCCCAGGAGTTGTACAGCCAGTCCTACGATGAGATTGGAGTCATGTTTGCCTCCATTCCTAACTTCTCTGACTTCTACACGGAAGAGAGCATCAATAACGGAGGGATCGAATGCTTACGCTTCCTCAATGAGATCATCTCAGACTTTGACAGTGTAAGCTGAATTCTTCCCTCTGCTGTGTGTTTCAATATCAATATGGGCACTGAAGTAACTCACAACAACATGACACATTCTACAGTTACATCGATTTAAAAGTCATACACAAATACAAGTGATGTTGCTATTTTAGAGCTGGTGACAGAAAATGGTAGATATATTTTGAAGTGGATGGAGATTGAGTCCCTGTGGTTCCAATTTCACTTCCGTTTAATCTTAGATTCAGGTTCAGGTTATTTATTTGTTACCGTAGGTAGATTTGGTTTGTAGTTTAAAGACAAGGGATCCATTGTCAGACACGCTTTTTGAATCAACACAGACAACACGCAAATCTTTAAAAAAGTACCCCAAAAAAGTACCCCAAAAAAGTACCCCAAAAATAAAAACCACAAACGGGTAAATAAATACATAAATAGCCATTGCCTCCATAGCCTCTGTGTGACGCCGTTACAACTTTTTCATATGAACGATGGCTGCTGGAACGTCTTTGGACTATTAACCTCCGGCCCCAAGAAATCTGAAATTCAATGTGCGAATGGTGGGAGTCGTTGAATAACCTCAGTCTGCTAGAGAACTTAACTTCTGACAAACTGTTTCTGATCTAGACAGGTGACCTAACCATGACACTAACACAAAATAAACGACAGAATGGACTCAATAAAATCACCATGAAACAAGACCAGTGTGACCAAACTAACGCTGGTGCCCCTTTTTGCACACAGCTTTTACGGTTTGCTTTAAAAGTTACGTTTTACGTCAATTATTGTCCTGAGATTTGAGTAAGTTTGCACACATCCCACTGTCCCCATGTTTTTGGTTTTACATGTTCAGTCGTATATTGGACTTCTCAAACCACCTGACAAAGTCGTCAATGTCCATGCCATGGCTGGTCTCATTGCCCTGGAGCCTACTAACAATACCAGAGTCACCTGCATACTTTACAAATCTTCCCCTTATATCCATGGCAGCTGCTGGATGAGCCTCAGTTCCGCTGCATCACAAAGATAAAGACCATCGGCAGCACCTACATGGCCGCCTCAGGAGTCACCCCAGACGTCAGCAACGGCTACAGCTGCATGAAGGTCAGACTGTTCACCTGACTCTGCAGTGTGTGTGTCTGCTCTCACTAAAGAACATCTCAGTTGTGTTTCAGCAGTCCTGATGCAGCTGGTGTTGAGCTGCGTTTGTGTGTGTGTGCAGAAGGAGGAGCAGTCTGACAGAGAGCGCTGGCAGCACCTGGCAGACCTGGCAGACTTCGCTCTGGCCATGAAGGTCACACTCATGAACATCAACTACCAATCATTCAACAACTTCATGCTACGCATCGGTACGTGTGTGAGAGTCTGTGTGTGTGTAACAGCAATGCAACTTACAATGATGGCAGCACTGATCAAGTTTTCCTGTAGCTCTTAAAGTTCACATAAACAGTCTTTAAACACTGCCAGAGCCCATACTGTGCTCCCTTTAGTGTTTACTTCCTGTCTGTTTTATCCTATACATCCATGGTTGTATTCTGCTGTTCCCTTTAGAGTTTACTTCCTGTCTGTCTTCTTCTGCTGTTCCCTTTAGAGTTTACTTCCTGTCTGTCTTCTTCTGTTGTTCCCTTTAGTGTTTACTTCCTGTCTGTTTTATCCTATACATCCATGGTTTTATTCTGCTGTTCCCTTTAGAGTTTACTTCCTGTCTGTCTTCTTCTGCTGTTCCCTTTAGAGTTTACTTCCTGTCTGTCTTCTTCTGTTGTTCCCTTTAGAGTTTACTTCCTGTCTGTCTTCTTCTGCTGTTCCCTTTAGAGTTTACTTCCTGTCTGTCTTCTTCTGTTGTTCCCGTTAGTGTTTACTTCCTGTCTGTCTTCTTCTGCTGTTCCCTTTAGAGTTTACTTCCTGTCTGTCTTCTTCTGTTGTTCCCGTTAGTGTTTACTTCCTGTCTGTCTTCTTCTGTTGTTCCCGTTAGTGTTTACTTCCTGTCTGTCTTCTTCTGTTGTTCCCGTTAGTGTTTACTTCCTGTCTGTCTTCTTCTGTTGTTCCCGTTAGTGTTTACTTCCTGTCTGTCTTCTTCTGTTGTTCCCGTTAGTGTTTACTTCCTGTCTGTCTTCTTCTGTTGTTCCCGTTAGTGTTTACTTCCTGTCTGTCTTCTTCTGTTGTTCCCGTTAGTGTTTACTTCCTGTCTGTCTTCTTCTGTTGTTCCCGTTAGTGTTTACTTCCTGTCTGTCTTCTTCTGTTGTTCCCGTTAGTGTTTACTTCCTGTCTGTCTGTTTTGTGGCCACCACTGGCATTAAATAGACAGGACTTCTTTCTGCGGATTGATATGACCTCACATAATCACTTGATGATAGCTTTCTTAGCAATTGTCTGATAGCGAAAAATAGCAAACCTCTGAATTTCCAAATTGACCAAACAGAATTGAGTATTCAACTAAGCTGTGTAATACAAGTTAAAGTAATAGTTTGTATGTACATTGGCAGTATTCTGGCAATTGTTGTTATGAATTAGTGATGTCATTAATACTCAATAAGGTAAACGGGTAAATATGGGGTTTTGAGTTTGGAATAAAGTTGCATTATTAGTGCATATGTTGTGTTGTGTTAAACATGGGGCAGCAATTAAGCAATTAAAGCACATGAGAACATAAATTGAGTTTCATATCCTATTTTAAAAGTACAAAACCATATCCAAAAATCTAAAACCCAACAGGCCAAATCCCAAGCTATGTTGTTCAGTGCTGTATGTGATTAACAGTGAATATTCTAAAGTCACATGACTCACGTGAACTCTCCCCCCCAGGTCTGAATAAGGGCGGAGTGTTAGCAGGAGTAATCGGTGCCCGGAAACCCCACTACGACATCTGGGGCAACACTGTGAACGTGGCCAGCCGCATGGAGTCCACGGGGGTGATGGGAAACATCCAGGTACAGCACTGAGACCCACTAAAGGCCTCTGCATCACTCAACACTGTTTAGACTCTACTAATGTGCCGGTATAAACTACTCGGATGCAGAATCATCCAATTTTCCATTTAAGTGATCAAAACAAGTAGAAGCTATATCACTGATTTATAAAAGTGTGCATACAAAAAGATTTAGATGTATGTAAAGCTCAAATAAGACATCTTATTATTGGTCCATTTGGTATACAGTACTGAAGAAAACTGCTGTCACTAAAGAAGATACTGACTTTAATCTGTGCAAATCAGATAATGAAACAAACCACTATCATTAGCCGCTGGACTTGCTTGAAATATTTGTATACATTTTCAGCCTTTAGCAGCTAAAGTTTCCCCAAAACTCAGAGGGACCAAAACAAGAGCTAAATGGGACTCGTATTGCACTTACATTAATCGTGTGGAACAAACAGGACTCCAAATAAATGATTACATATGGACGACGACGTATGTTCTTTGTGTCTGCTGGATGAGTACATGTGTAATTGTTTGTGACGCATTTATCATAACAAAACGTTACTATTTAAAGCACAATATGAATGAATTCAAAATGACATTTCTTTATTTTTGCATGTTCGGAATATATGAACAGTAATATTTGCCACATTTATTACATTATTTATCAAACATTGTGTTGCAACAAATATAACATTCTGCTTTGCTTAGTTTCTGAATGTGTGTGTGTGTGTGTTGCCCCCAGGTGGTGGAAGACTGCTACAACATTCTGAAGGAGTACAGCTTCCGCTTTGTGAGGAGGGGGCCGATCTTTGTGAAGGGAAAAGGTGAACTGCTCACGTATTTCCTGAAGGGAAGAGACAAACAAGGCTCATTTATCAACGGCTCCTCTGTCACTCTGCCACACCAGGTGGTGGACAGCTAAGGACGCACACACACACACACACACACACACACACACACACACACACACACACACACACACACACACACACTCCCTCCCCAGCAGTTACATCCAGTGTGTAATGATTGCAGAGTGAGAGAGTTTCTGGAACGAGAAGTAATTTGCCAAAAAGCACTCCGGTACCTGGTATTCAACCAAATGTTTACAAATTACAGAACCACTACACACTTCATACACACCTCTGACAACACCATTACTGAACACACACACACACACACACACACACACACACACACACACACACACACACACTTGTTCCCTGTCTGTGGAAAGATATAAATGCCTGTAGATATTGTATTTGAATTCAAGTTTCACCACGGAGCTCAAAACATGAATCAATTTATATAAAATTGAATTATTCAAAATCTAGAGACACAACAGACATCCAAATCGGACACTATAGATTAAATATTACAAATACAAATAATTAGACTACAGTACATCAAGTCAAACTTAAGTGACACAAGATGGCCACATTTTCATATTTATGGTAGTTTTTCAGAAAAACAGAGAAATGCAATTACTTTCAGTGTAAACAAAGAGAAGCTGTGTTCCCCCCACCTAATGGAATTAAGATGGAGGTTAATGACAATGTGTTAGTAACTGGAGTACGCTGGGTGTGTGTTTTCACATTCTCCAGCAACAAAAAGTGATATGAAGGTTTCTTCAACATTCTCCTGCTACAAATATTCACACCTTCAGACACACTCTCCTGCAGCTCATTTAAAAAAGACAAATCCACTCCAGCAGCTTTTTATCCAACCATGGACGTTGGCACCCTAACCATTCAGATATCACCATGTATACCTATCATTTCAATCCAATGTCATCCATTGCCGAACAGCAAGAGGATAACTCATTCAAGCTGGTGTTATTTAATTTAAATACAATGATAGGTTTTATTTCTTTCCAGATGAAAACATTGATCTCTCACACACACACACACACACACACACACACACACACACACACACACACACAAACACAAGGCCTTTCGCACCTGACCACATTAACACAACGTAGCTTTTGGACGCCCGGCCTAAATTCTGGACCGCTCCACGTGTACAAAATCCTTCCATGAACGGAAAGCTGATCTGAAAGCTGATCTGAGCTCAGCTTCATCAGACTGTCTCTGATGAAGAAGAGGATTTGGAAGTGGACCAATGAGAGGCCAGAAGTGACAATAGAGCTGCTGCCAATGTGTGCGCATAGTGTTTTCCTGCTAAATCAAAGTATTCTCTCTCCTCGTGTGTGATCTGGGGACAGGTCGCTCCTCCGTGTTCACGCCTCTGTACGGAGAGACACAGGTGTCAGGTCAGAGGGTAGCACACATGGCAGAAATATTTTTCACTCTGATTGTGGATTGATGGAAGTGCCTATCACAGCTGTGATGTTTTCATGAAGTTAAAGGAGTCCATAGCCTTCTACAGGTAGGGGAAAGTCTTTGAGTCTTTTCACATTGCTGTGTGGGGATAATTCAAGTTTACTTCAGCAACTCTAAGATCTGGAACATGATGAAATCAACCAAAACAGGTCTGTGAATGGTTTGGAAACAAAGCAACAGGGAGCCTTATTCAAAGATAAAGTATGCACTGTAACATTATTACCCATATTTTCACATCACAGTTTATAAACCCACTGCCTGCCTAAACGTTGACATACTGTACCTACCAAGCCCCCAGGAAGAGTGGCGGCCATTAAAGCAAATGTTTCTAGTGGCCAAACAATGGTACTACAACGTCCTTGTCAGTTTGTGACGTCATTGGGCCAAAAGAAGACTTTTTCCCATTGACTTACATTGGGAAAGAGACGTCTGTAAATAATTGTATAATTCTTTTATAGTTTAATTTACTACACAGGAGTTACTTTCCCTCTCCATTTATTTAACTGAGCCGAAACCCGGCAGATTAGATTAGAATGAACGCCTCAGACGCAGTTCTCTTAATACACCCATGGTGCCAATGTTTTCTTTGGATTATTGTCAGCATTTTAGGTGTGCTCACTTTCAGTTTAATCACCAATGATGGTTCGGACTATCATCAATGTTGTCTAAATATAAGGCTTATTTTGTTTTTATAAATCGGCCTAACCGGTTTTACTGTAATGGGTATTTTCATTTGATTTATTTTTACCAAAAAAAGTTATAAAAACATTCTAGTAAATGATTTGGCTTCCCCCTGCAGACACTCTCAGTACCCCTAGGGGTCACGGACCCCCTGTGGGACAACTTCTACTCCTGTTTCTGGATCCATTAGAGACCTCTTTGTGACATTTGATCTCAGCAATTAGCTTGCTTGAGTGTGTCAGAAAAGGACAGAGGCTGTAATAAACTGGAGTTTCCTTTCATTGCATGTGGAAAAACAAGAGACTTCAATCAATCTAGAACGTATTAAACATGTATTTCAATGTGTCAAAAGACGACAGCGACAAACGGTTCAATACATGAACTTGTTGCAGCCTTCCACATCGTTTGCACACGATTTGAATCAAGCCCATTTCTATCTGGTATTAACATGTGTGGAAAGTGTCGATAGGCCTTTGAATTCACACCTCGCGCTTTGACGCTGCTGTCCCCAGTGCTACTGAGGAACGGTCTCCACCTTGCTTCATGGACGAGTTCATTTATTGCCACCCGAGTTAGCAGAATTGGAATCTGTGTGCATTAACCCCTGCATTACAAAGCAGATTCACTGATCCAGATACAGATCTCATGTTAATACCAAGTGGACTCGGGGTCTAACTTTTCTCTTGAGTTTTGTCCTGAAGTTGGCTATCATCTGTGTGTTTGTTAGTCTCTGCTTGTTGGACATGTACAGCAGACACCACAGGGTTTTTCATACACCAATGTGTTTTCACGTGCAGTTGGCAGATGGGCCCAAAAACATTTTGGTTCATGTGAAAATCTGCAAGAAGTTCTCACTGAAGCTGCATTCACATGATACGCGATTTGCTCTTCGCCCACCTTGAGTTTGGGCACAGAGTCTTGCGGGCGACAAAAGCTAGTTAATTTTGTTTCTATGGTAACCTCTCCTGCTAGTTTGCACCACTTCATGCCGCTGTCATCTTATTGGTTGCACGTTGAAAGGTCAGCAGTAAACGAGTTAAAGGTTTCAATAATTTGAACGCAGTGCTCCTCGCCCCCAGGAAGTGCACCAACAAATGTAGTAGTGGCCAAACATTTGTACTACAGTCCCTTTCTTTTTTCCATTGACTTGAAAAACTCAAGTGCTTATTCTCGCTGGGCAAAATCCCCTAATTGATCCAATACCTTTTGAATCTACAGTCGCTCCATTTAGGGATTCATGCTCCACTGAGGACATTTCATAAGAATGAACAGTGCCCCGCCTCCGACCAGTTCTCTTTATACATCAATGTGCGTGACTCTAAGTGTAGTGAGTCACCTATTCACACCGCTCTCTCTATTGAAACATAACAGCAACACAATAATAATAATAATAATAACTTAGATTTATATAGCGCCTTTCACCCTAGGTCGCTTTACAGAAAAACTGAATGTCAGCGCAGAGCAGTTTTCCCGCCTATCATGTGAATGCAGCTTAAGAGACCTGGCCAGGTGAGAAAATATGGACAGACAAGAACACCAAACAAAATCGGACTTTATTATTTCAAATGTTTGGAGTAATTGCAGGCAAACCATATTCTGAGGGAAGCCTGTAGGTCTGCCTCGACAGTCTTCTCGCACGCAGGGAATGAGGCATGTCATGGTGCTTATTTTTACATCATTTTGCCAAATTTGTTGCAATTAGAGAAGCTCTGACAAGACTCCCCAAACGGAGAAAAACGCTTGTATTTTGGATGTCCACATGAAGGCAGGACACGCAGTAGAAGGAGCGCCCCCACCTGGCAGGAAGCAGATGTGCTGGGTGAGGGTTTTGGGGATATGATTATGTATACATCTCTTTCCTCCGCTGATTGTAAAGCCCATTAATGATTCAGTAGAATGGGATGAAAGTGCAATAGTTTCTTCTTCTACAAAACCTGACATGCTCCTCTCTTAAGGAAAGGTTCAATCATTCCTTCCCCTTTAATTCATATTTTTATAACGTTATGTACAAGTTTTGTTCTATTTAAGGAGAAGGAAAGAGGACTGAGTATGTCCTAGTTGTATATAGACTTTAGAAGGTGTTTATGAATCAGATTTATTTATTGGAAATGACAGGGACATTGTTTTTGTGGTTGTTTTTTTACACAGATGTGAAAGTGCCAATGATAAAAGGAATTACTTTAAATGTTAAAAGCCAAAAAATGGACCACGGCTGTTTCCTGATTTATATTTTAAAAGAATCTCAGGCTTGGGAACAAAAATGGAATAATGTGTCATGATTCCAGGTTTTGACTGCGACAGAATCTTTTTTTTTTTTTTTTTTTTAAAGCTAAGCAGCAACACAGAACAGTGAACGCCATCTGGAGAGCCAGCAGGGCCAGCCGATGATGAAGTCGACAAAATGATTTAATCTTGTGGGTCTAGTTGTTGTTGTCGTTCCATTTTGTCCGGATTTGATTCAAAACTTTGATTCCTCTGCACATTTTTTGTGATTTTTAATTAGATATACTGTAGATTCCAATTCTGGTTTTGAAGTATTTCTCATTCTGTGTACCCTCCTTCATTTCAACTGTCATCGTAAGGTGAGTTGATTAAAAAAATCCAATAAAGATGAGTCTCAGTGTCATGATTACTGCACAGTAGGTGGACACTGCGGCACAGTGGATGTCTCAACATCTCCGTAGGTGGAGGCTGACAAGAGCAGCAGAGGTGAGTCATTCAAACACTCCAACTGTAATAAAGTGTAGAAGCAAAAACTCTTATCGTCACAGATGCTGCACTTCCCTGATTTAAGCCATCATTTAATTGTCTTCATTTTGTTATACATTGGTGCTTTGAAATAAAAGCAAAGAAGAAGAACCTAGTCTAACAACTAGGACCATTATTCACCTGTAAATATATAGATGACATTATAGCATGCTGTACCAATACTCAGGGTTGTGGAGGGATACTCTAAAAATGTATTCCATTAACATTACAATTGACCTGTTAGACAAATTAAATCATTAACATGGTCTGAGTATCAAAATATACCTCAATATCAAATGCAATGCATAGAGAAATAATCAACAAGATGTTTTTTTATTTAAGTGTATTATGTAAGACAACAGAACAATGTGACCTTAAAAAAGAAGAAACCAAGATATTTATTATCAAAAATGTCTCTGCTCAGTGATTTTGTTTATAGGAAAACCTGCCATTCATTCAGCATATTCAGGCAGCAGTCTGTACACCAACAATTAAACACATGAGCACATACTACAATTTAAAGAAAAAAAAGAAGCAGAAATGAAATCTGAAAAGAAATGCTCTGTTTTAGTTTAATACACACAGTTCAGCTCACACACACTATTTTATGAACATAGGTTCACGTCCTGAATTAAAAAAAGAATGTCACATTGACATTATGGATTACTAGCACCACTACAATGCTACACAACATTTTAAATAGAGAACAATATGTAGGCTACTAGAGCATATTGTCTTTTTTGTGAAAGTTGCAGATTTTATATTTGCTTTGTCAGTCCCTCACATTGTTGTGTAGGCCCATACTTTAGGGTGGAATCTATACGCCTTCTGCCTGAATATTAATAATGGTTTTCACTTTCTTTGGTTCTTAAATTTTTTTTTATTCAGTAGGTGACCCTATGTTCATAACATAGCGTGTTTGAGCTTAACTTTTATTAAACGAAAATTGAGCAATTTATGTTAGCTCTGATTTTACTTTGTGATCTTTTAAACTGTAGTCTGTGCTCATGTGTTCATTGTTTGGTCACCATTTTTAAAGGTAAGCCAAATGAGAGGGACAGCGCCCCTAGCGGCGACGCAGCGCGCGCAAAAAGACGTGGAGGAATTTCCGCTGACGTCACTGCGTATGTCAGGGCTGCAGCTGTCTTAGAGCAACAATAACAAGCTCTGCCACATTAACTTAGCACGGCTTTAACGCTCCCTGACAGCGCCAGATAACACAGAATCTCGTCAAAATGTGGCTCTCGGAATAACTTAGACCTCTGTTTCCTCGTCGTCCGAGTCGAACACCGGGGTTACCGTCTCCGCCACCGCCGCTCCAGACCCGGAGAGTCGGTCGCAGGGGGAGCAGGGCAGGCAGGGCTGCATCTGGGTCAGTGGGCCTGTCGGCGGCAGCACCGGTGTTATCCCCGCGGGCTCACATTGCGCCTGTCATTCGTTTTTATATAGCCTACATACCCGCATAACCCGCGGTAACATGCAGGGGGACGGGGCAGGACAGGACCAAGACTCAGAACTGTCCTGCCGAAACGGTGCGCAGAACGGCGAGTCGTCCTCCACCGGAGAGGCTCACTCCAACGGGCTGGAGTCGGTGACTAACAATGGAAACACTGTCAACAACAACGGAGTGTCAGCACCGCCGGAGTCCAGCAACAGCACGGTGGACACTAGGAAGAAGAAGCGCCTGTCTCAGTGCGAGGAGGACGTCATCAGGCTCATCGGACAGCATCTCCACGACCTGGGGCTCAAGTGAGTGAGAAACAGAACCGAGTCACCCCCCACCCTGCCGAACCATCACACAGTTTGATGCAGCCATAACAATATAAATATAATTAAATACGATGTCAATGATGTGCTCGTAGGTGAATTTGTCTTTTACATAACAAATGCATTCCCATTGTTTTCACTCTACACTGCAGGACTGTGCTCGCAGTGGATGAGACAGGCACAGGATTTACGTTTTCTATGGAGTTCGCTTCCTGTTTGTTCAACACAATAGAACGCCAGGCCCATTAAATAAAGACTGGTCAATATATTCAACACAATAAAAGAATGCTCCTGCATATTAAGAAAACAAAAGATGTTGAGTTTGGATTAAAAGTTATTTGGCTTTGAGTTTGGGTGAGAATCTTAGTCTTTAAATAAGTTTGTACTCCATGTTATTGAATTCTGCACATAGTTAGATTGTGATAAGATGACCTGTTGAAGGATACAGGAAGTCAGAAATAGTATTATTTTCCTGATTATTTAATAAACAAGTTATTTCTTTCTGGTTCAATTCGTAATGTTTCAGCCTGTAGAATCTCTGAACATCTTGAATAAGACCAGTTTTTAATATAAGTTTTTAATACCAGTTTTTAGAGCTCAACTTGACTTCTTAAAATATGTGTTTGTGTCATTCCACCAGGCCTGAACATAAAACAGTGATATTAAACAGATTCTAAATGACACGGAGAGAAGCTGCAATCACAGATTATAATGGTACAAACAACCATTCATTTTCTGTCGGCTAAATGATCAACTCAAAAAGCATGGGAATGGTTCAAACCACATTTTTGTATCTCTTTCATAAGTTTGTGTCTAAATCATGTTATGTATCAGTTGGTCACATGAAAAGACTTCAAGACAAGTATTGAAATTGATGATAAGTGCTGAGAGAGTCATCGTCATGATGCTGATTGGTTCTCCTCCGCTGCGTTCATGTCCCCAGTCAGACGGTGGACCTCCTGATGCAGGAGTCAGGGTGCAGACTGGAGCACCCCTCCGCCACCAAGTTCCGCAACCATGTCATGGAAGGAGAGTGGGACAAGGTGGAGAGACGTTTGTACTGTCCATACTGTTTTGAGTTTTTTATAGCAGTAATCTAAGCACTCAATTTAGACCCAGTAGGAACGATTGTTACAGTGCTTCAAATCTGTTAGTCAGTGACTCTCTAGGTTTAAGAGTTTATTCATTGTGAACAGAGGTGGGAAGTAACTAAGTACATTTACTCAAGTACTGTTCTTATGTACATTTTTAAGATACTTGTTATGCTACTTTGTTCTTCTTCTCCAGTACAATTCAGAGGTAAATTGTGTACTTTTACTCCACTACATGTATGTAATACCTTTAGTTACTTTGCATATTTGGATTGAAATATATTCAAGTGTTGAATCAGACTTTAGTTCCACCTGGAGTGAATTCACAAGCTACCCTGCAGTATACAAAGTCATTCAAACTAGCTGCACCTTTACCAGCTTTGAGAACACTTTCATGATCAATCATTATAGCATATCATCATATATATAATACCAATCTTAGTATATTGTTATGCTTATACTTGATTAACATTTTGAATACTGGACTTTTACTTGTAACAGAGTATTCCTACAATCTGGTATTTCTACAAGATCTGAGTACTTCTCCCACCTCTGACTGTGACACCTGTCCCTCTTCGTGTTCTTTATGCTTACCCCCTTCCTTTATTCAGGCTGAGAGTGACCTGAATGAACTGAAGGCATTGATGCATTCTCCCAGTGCTATAGTGGTGAGTAGCAGTCCTCAGATCAGCTGTCTCTATGCTCCGTCTCATCAACATGTCATGTATGGTGCACAAACACTGCAGCCAGAGGCACGAAGCTCTGACTAAATAATAGAGACCACCAGTTATTAGTGCGTCAGTACTACATTTAAAACAATTTGAATACATGATGATTATAAATGATGATATGTCGTCTGTGAGCAAACATATCAAACATGTCCAGGCAGTGTATATCGTCAGCCCTGGGGAGTACTGGGAACAAAAAGAAATCTTAATACTGGTACATTTAAAAAATTGGGATTACTAGCAGGATTACAATGTTACAATCAATTTGAAAACAATGAGCTGCTGGGCCCCCTTTAAGCCTCTATCCCCTCTAGTTTCTGTGCAGGGTTTAAAGATGTCTACTTGTGTAGTAATTCGATTTATTACATGAACTCATTACAGCTGTTCGTGATCCAGATTGTTGTGTACAATTAGATCATAAGACATTTTAAAATAAGCAATCCTATAAATAATAACAGTAACAAAATACATCTGTAATCAAATACACTTCAAAATATGTTTTGCTGCTTCTTTTCTCAATTTACTGTAGGTTATTTGTATTAGATTGAGGCAGTTGTCATTATAAAAGTTCCCTTTTTTCAGAAAAAAACAAAGGCAGTTTGGTGTCAATCATCTCCAAATATACTAGATACTAGATGAAAATGTTGCCAAATATCATGTTACCAGGAGTAATTTGCATATTTGTATACCTCTAGCAAAAGAAGCATTCAGGTCATTGCTCTTCCAAGTCAGTGCAAAGTGTGTTCCATTACTAATGTAAAGAACAACAGGTTCTGTACTGAGTTCTAATGACAACATCACCAAATACAATGTTTCAATTGACTAGAAAATAAACACTCACTGTAATGGTCTGCTGGTAAAGACACCTTGGTTTTCTAGAACCTTCTGTCTTGGTAAATGTCTTGGCCTCTGCTGATGTCCTCTCTGCTCTGTGTTCTTGTGCTACTGAGCAGCGGATGAAGTTCCTGCTGCTGCAGCAGAAGTACCTGGAGTACCTGGAGGACGGGAAGGTTCTGGAGGCCCTGCAGGTGCTCCGAGCCGAGCTCACTCCTCTCAAGTACAACACGGAGCGGATCCACATCCTGAGCGGGTCAGTCCACACAGGGAGCTCTCACTGAACATCCACGGAGCGGGGTTATCATTTAAGAGTATCCACTACTTACAATGTGTAATGTGGTGCGATGTTAGTTACATGTGTACCCCCTATCACAATTGTCAGCACAGTACACCCAGATATGCAATTCTTGAAACAACTAAGTTGTGCATTTTCCCTTTATTTCTCTAAATAAAAAGTAACAAAATATCCAAACATTTAAATACATTTTATAATTAATCCACGAACTGTGCGTTACAAAGAAACATTTGACTATTAAAACTCATTTAAATGCATGTCTCATGCAGCTTGCTGTATCTACAAATGATTGAAACTGAAGAATATAAATACTTCTAATTAGTTTAGCTAGTTCAACAGGTAGATAAGATTGCTTAATACGATAAGATAAGATAGTACTTTATTGATCCCAATCTGGGAAATGTTTGTGTTCATTAATGGCCTAACTAGAATCATGTGTTTGGCACCGCTCTCTGGTCCCGTCACACTGCAGCTGCTGTGAGATGCGTGGCCGCTGTCAGCAGAAGCCTGAGACCGGACCATTGAGCTCTTTCCCGATTCTCGCTCACTCGTGTTTATGTCCTTATCTATCAAATCTAGCTCGTGATATGACAGCCTTCTTAACAATCTGTCTAAACAAAAGGCATTGCTAAGGCAACCAGGTGAAGCGCCAAGGTTTAGCACAACATTGTACAGCGGTTTCAATGAGGGGTGAACACTACCCCGTTAGCGTTTCGGAAAAACACTGATTGGTTTGCTTGGGGTGAACCCCAAAAAGAGCCTCTTTAAATACAGGCATCCTGCTGGTTTTTGGAAGTAAATGTGAAGAGGGAGTATTTGTAATGAGTTGTAGCACAGGGCCGGCCCAGAAGGATACGCTGACAAGGTGATAAATGTGTGTGAGCAGCTGTGAGTCTGTCTGCAGCTGTGAGTGTGTCTGCAGCTGTGAGTGTGTGAGCAGCTGAGTGTGTCTGCAGCTGTGAGTGTGTCTGCAGCTGAGAGTGTGTCTGCAGCTGTGAGTGTGTGAGCAGCTGAGAGTGTGTGAGCAGCTGAGAGTGTGTCTGCAGCTGTGAGTGTGTGAGCAGCTGTGAGTGTGTCTGCAGCTGTGAGTGTGTGAGCAGCTGAGAGTGTGTCTGCAGCTGTGAGTGTGTCTGCAGCTGAGAGTGTGTCTGCAGCTGTGAATGTGTGAGCAGCTGAGAGTGTGTGAGCAGCTGTGAGTGTGTCTGCAGCTGAGAGTGTGTGAGCAGCTGTGAGTGTGTCTGCAGCTGTGAGTGTGTGTGAGCAGCTGAGAGTGTGTCTGCAGCTGTGAGTGTGTGTGAGCAGCTGTGAGTGTGTCTGCAGCTGTGAGTGTGTGAGCAGCTGAGAGTGTGTCTGCAGCTGTGAGTGTGTCTGCAGCTGTGAGTGTGTGTGAGCAGCTGAGTGTGTCTGCAGCTGTGAGTGTGTGTGAGCAGCTGAGAGTGTCTGCAGCTGTGAGTGTGTGTGAGCAGCTGAGAGTGTGTGAGCAGCTGAGAGTGTGTCTGCAGCTGTGAGTGTGTCTGCAGCTGTGAGTGTGTGAGCAGCTGAGAGTGTGTCTGCAGCTGTGAGTGTGTGAGCAGCTGAGAGTGTGTCTGCAGCTGTGAGTGTGTGTGAGCAGCTGAGAGTGTGTCTGCAGCTGTGAGTGTGTCTGCAGCTGTGAGTGTGTGAGCAGCTGAGAGTGTGTGAGCAGCTGAGAGTGTGTCTGCAGCTGTGAGTGTGTCTGCAGCTGTGAGTGTGTCTGCAGCTGTGAGTGTGTGAGCAGCTGAGAGTGTGTCTGCAGCTGTGAGTGTGTGTGAGCAGCTGAGAGTGTGTCTGCAGCTGTGAGTGTGTCTGCAGCTGTGAGTGTGTGAGCAGCTGAGAGTGTGTCTGCAGCTGTGAGTGTGTCTGCAGCTGTGAGTTTGTCTGCAGCTGAGAGTGTGTCTGCAGCTGTGAGTGTGTCTGCAGCTGCGAGTGTGTGAGCAGCTGAGAGTGTGTCTGCAGCTGTGAGTGTGTGAGCAGCTGAGAGTGTGTCTGCAGCTGTGAGTGTGTGTGAGCAGCTGAGAGTGTGTGAGCAGCTGAGTGTGTCTGCAGCTGTGAGTGTGTGTGAGCAGCTGAGAGTGTGTGAGCAGCTGAGAGTGTGTCTGCAGCTGTGAGTGTGTCTGCAGCTGTGAGTGTGTGAGCAGCTGAGAGTGTGTCTGCAGCTGTGAGTGTGTGAGCAGCTGAGAGTGTGTCTGCAGCTGTGAGTGTGTGTGAGCAGCTGAGAGTGTGTCTGCAGCTGTGAGTGTGTCTGCAGCTGTGAGTGTGTGAGCAGCTGAGAGTGTGTGAGCAGCTGAGAGTGTGTCTGCAGCTGTGAGTGTGTCTGCAGCTGTGAGTGTGTGAGCAGCTGAGAGTTTGTCTGCAGCTGAGAGTGTGTCTGCAGCTGTGAGTGTGTCTGCAGCTGCGAGTGTGTGAGCAGCTGAGAGTGTGTCTGCAGCTGTGAGTGTGTGAGCAGCTGAGAGTGTGTCTGCAGCTGAGAGTGTGTCTGCAGCTGTGAGTGTGTGAGCAGCTGAGAGTGTGTGAGCAGCTGAGAGTTTGTCTGCAGCTGAGAGTGTGTGAGCAGCTGAGAGTGTGTGTGAGCAGCTGAGAGTGTGTCTGCAGCTGAGAGTGTGTCTGCAGCTGTGAGTGTGTGAGCAGCTGAGAGTGTGTCTGCAGCTGTGAGTGTGTCTGCAGCTGTGAGTGTGTGTGAGCAGCTGAGAGTGTGTGAGCAGCTGAGAGTGTGTCTGCAGCTGTGAGTGTGTGAGCAGCTGAGTGTGTGTCTGCAGCTGTGAGTGTGTGAGCAGCTGAGAGTGTGTGAGCAGCTGCGAGTGTTTGAGCAGCTGAGACTGTGTGAGCAGCTGCGAGTGTTTGAGCAGCTGAGTGTGTGTCTGCAGCTGTGAGTGTGTGAGCAGCAGTTGTGAGTGTGTGTGAGCAGCTGAGAGTGTGAAATGAATTTCAGCGCGCCATTTTGAAGGACGTCTCATTTCTCTAAATGCACATCGAGGATCGAGCATCGAGCGTCGAGGAGGCTCTCTGGAGGAGCTATAACCGAGGATACACTGATGGTTCCTCCACGGCTCCTCCGCGGATGCATTTCCGGGAACGGTGGAGGCGTGACGCACGGCCGGACTTATCTCAGCCAATGACAGCTCTGCATGCATCCCCTGGATATTATTTTAGAAACTGCTTTCATCGCGTCGCGATGTTTCCAGAGAGAACAGCTGTGAGGTCCGTGCAGAAAGCAGAGCAGTGTGTATAATATATATCACTCAGTATAACAGGCCTACTCTCTTTATTTGCTTTAGTTTAGTAGATATCTACAAACAAAGAGTCGATATTTTTCTAAGACCATTGCTTCACATAATAAAATACACAACGGCTTATGCTTTAGGAGCTGTAGGTGTGTGTGGTACAGTGTGTAGGTGTGTGTGGTACAGTGTGTAGGTGTGTGCTGTACAGTGTGTAGGTGTGTGTGGTACAGTGTGTAGGTGTGTGTGGTACAGTGCGTAAATGCGGCGGACAGACGGGTCTCAGTTGGTTTGGTGTCCTCTGCTTACTTTTAATAGGCCTACTTGTAAATACAACTTTTGGCCCGTAATTTCAATTCCCCATTTCAGCGACCAGAGAGAGGGGGGGATATATCCAGTCTCTGATTGTGTTACGTTATTATGAGAGTGCTCTCATACTTTAAATTGTATATATTTATATAAATATATTTGTGTGTGTGTGTCCGCATCTGTAGCCTGTTATTGTCTCATTATACCGCACTCTCAATTAATTCAAAGTAAATATGTGGGGGAACAATGTTCAGCTGATCTAACAGAGATACAGCGCTATGACAAAACACTCGACAGCTGATGCAGCTGTTGCCAAGTAATAATGAACGGACGTCTCTTTAAAATGACCGCTCAGAGGAGAGGAGTTCTCATTTCTTTAAACGTCTGCTGCTTCCCCTCCTCTCTCCTCGGTTCCCCTCCTCGGTCCTCCGCTCGCATCTCCTGTGGGCGGGTCTAAGTCTCGAGGAGGGGAACCGAAGAGGGGAGTCGAGGAGGGGAAATTTGAGTATTGAGAAGCCTCTTGTGTCTGCAGCTGAGAGTGTGTGAGCAGTTGTGAGTGTGTGAGCAGCTGCGAGTGTGTCTGCAGCTGCGAGTGTGTGTGAGCAGCTGCGAGTGTGTGTGAGCAGCTGAGAGTGTGTGTGAGCAGCTGTGAGTGTGTCTGCAGCTGAGAGTGTGTCTGCAGCTGTGAGTGTGTCTGCAGCTGAGAGTGTGTGAGCAGCTGAGAGTGTGTGAGCAGCTGAGAGTGTGTCTGCAGCTGAGTAATGTCCTTCTGTGTTCTGCAGGTACCTGATGTGCAGTCATGCAGAGGACCTGCGAGCCAAAGCAGAGTGGGAGGGCAAAGGCACGGCGTCCCGCACCAAGCTGCTGGACAAGCTGCAGAGTGAGTGCACACTTTAAACAGCATTACCAGTGCAGAATAATTATTGTGCATACAGTATGTTTTATAATGTTGCCTCTCCTCTAAAATCCACTGCTTTCTACATCACTTATTATGTACTATTGGCCATTATGATCTTAGTAAAGTATTATTATCTCGATAACATTATCAGTAAATATGATTTTCAAACATCATGTAGCCATTTGTATACTTACATTGTTCTCCTTTAATGGATTCTAACCAAACAGAAGCTTTTCACAGAGCAGTAATTGTTGACATTGACGTTGTCTTGGGTCATATTTACAGCATGGATCACATTACATTACATTACATTGCAATTAGCTGACGCTTTTATCCAAAGCGACTTACAATAAGTGCATTCGACCAGGAAGACACAACCTTGAAGAAAACAGAATCATATAAGTACATCAGGTTTCATAGAGCCAAACATTTCAAGTGATACTCAACTGGCTTTAGATAAGCCAGTCCTTTATTAGTATATAAGTGCTCTGTTAGTAATTATATCGCTCGAAGTGGAGTCGAAAGAGATGAGTTTTCAGTTTGCGCCGGAAGATGTGCAAGCTATCTGCTGTCCTGATGCCAATGGGGAGCTCATTCCACCATTTTGGAGCCAGGATAACAAACCCACGTGTTTTTGCTGATGGGAACTTGGGTCCCCCTCGCAGCGAGGGTGCAGCGAGCCGTTTGGCTGATGCAGAGCGAAGTGCACGCGCTGGGGTGTACAGTTTAACCATGTCCTGGATGTAGGAAGGGCCAGATGCAAGTACCATTGTTTTGAAGTGGATTCTAGCAATTACTGGAAGCCAGTGAAGGGAGCGGAGGAGCGGAGTGGTGTGGGAACATTTAGGAAGGTTGAAGACCAGACGAGCCGCTGCATTCTGGATGAGCTGCAGAGGTCGGATGGCACATGCAGGTAGACCAGCCAGGAGGGAGTTGCAGTAGTCTAGGCGTGAGATAACGAGAGCCTGGACCAGAACCTGCGTTGCTTTCTGGGTCAGCTGGGGACGTATCTCCTGATGTTGTAAAGCGTGTATCTGCAGCAACGGGTTGTAGCAGCTATGTTTGCAATGAAGGACAGGTTGTTATCTAGGGTCACACCCAGATTCCTTGCAGTCTGAGTCGGGGAAACAACTGAGGTGCCGATGTTGATTGTTAGGTCAAGAGTGGGACAATATTTTCCCGGAAGGAAGAGCAGCTCAGTCTTGTCAAGGTTGAGCTTGAGGTGATGAGCAGACATCCACTGAGAGATGTCAGCTAGACAAGCAGAGATGCGTGCGACGACCTGGGTCTCTGAGCGGGGAAAGGACAGAATGAATTGGGTGTCATCAGCGTAGCAGTGGTATGAAAAACCATGCGGGCTAATGACAGATCCGAGCGAGTTTGTGTACAAGGAGAAGAGGAGGGGACCAAGAACAGAGCCCTGAGGGACCCCTGTAGTTAATTGACAAGGGTCGGACTGCGACCCTCTCCAAGTAACCCTGTAGGTGCGGTCTTTGAGGTATGAGGTGAGGAGGGAAAGTGCAGAGCCTGAAACTCCAAGTTTTTGGAGAGTGCGAAGGAGGATCTGATGATTCACCGTGTTGAATGCAGCAGACAGGTCCAACAGGATGATGACAGAGGAGAGGGATGCAGTTTTGGCAGTGTGCAGTTCCTCCGTGACAGCAATGAGAGCAGTTTCTGTGGAGTGACCTGCCTTGAAACCAGACTGGTGCGGATCCAGAAGGTTGTTCTGATGGAGATAACAGGAGAATTGTTTAAAGACAGCGCGTTCAAGTGATTTAGACAGGAATGGGAGGAGAGAGACAGGCCTGTAGTTTATAACATCAGACGGGTTGAGAGTGGGTTTCTTTAGGAGAGGGTTTACTCTTGCCTCCTTGAGACTGTTTGGAAAGTGACCAGAAGTTAGAGAAGTGTTGATGAAATGGGTGAGAAATGGTAGAATATCAGGAGCGATAGTCTGAAGGAGGTTTGAAGGGATAGGGTCCAGAGGACAGGTGGTAGGGCGGGCAGAGGTAATGAGGGTAAGAACCTCACTTGGAGAGAGAGGGGAAAAGGAGGTTAGTGTGTTGGTGGAAGGAAGGTCTGGTGACCCAGCGGTGAGTAAAGGTGAGTCAGAAAAAGAAGAGCGAATATCATCAACCTTTTTTTCAAAGTGGTTAACAAAGTCGCTTGACAGAAGTGAGGAGGGGGGAGGGGCTTTGGGAGGGTCCAAGAGGGTGGAAAAGATTGAAAATATTTTTTGGGGATTGGAATAGGAAGAATGGATCTTATCTTGAAAGAAAGTGCTTTTTGCCTGAGAGATCGAAGCAGAGAAAGAGGAGAGGAGAGCCTGATAGGTTAGGAGGTCGTCACGGTGTTTGGATTTCCACCGTTTCCGCTCTGCTGCCCGAAGGACGGTTCTATTAGCACGCAGTGCGTCATTTAGCCAGGGAGCAGGAGGGGACTGACGAGCCTGCCGAGATGTGAGAGGACAGAGCGAGTCCAGAGAGGATGAGAGAGTAGAGAGGAGAGTTTCTGCAGCAGAGTTTGGAGGCAGGAGTTGGAACGAGTCAGAGGAAGGGAGGGCTGAGAGCACCGATGAGGCAAAGGTAGAGGGAGAGAGGGAACGGACAGGCGGACAGGTGCAGGATGAGAAGAGATTAGTTTGTTATGTTTGGAAAGGGATAAAGAGAATGAAATGAAGAAATGATCGGATGTGTGAAGCGGGTTTACAGAGAGGTTAGAAGTAGCGCAGTTCCTTGAGAATATGAGATCAAGGACATTGCCAGCTTTATGAGTTGGTGGGGATGGAGACAGTGAGAAAGCAAAGGCGGTTAACAGAGATGTTAGTTCATCTATCTTCCCTGTCTGGAGGTTGAAGTCTCCAAGAAGTACAGCGGGAGGGCCAGTTTCAGGGATGAGTGAGAGGAGATGATCTAATTCCTCCAAGAAGTCCCCCAAGGCGCCTGGTGGACGGTAGAGAACAACAATGGTTAATTGTATAGGATGGGTTACTGTGACGGCATGGAATTCAAAGGTGGAAGGAGTAAAGTTAGGTAGCTTGAAGAGGGAAAAGCTCCATTTGGGAGAGAGCAGGAGACCAGTGCCACCTCCTCTGCCAGTGGGTCTGGGTGTATGGGAGAAGGAATATGCTTTGGAGAGAGCTGCTGGGGTGGATGCTGGTAAACACATACTGGTCTGTGTACATCACATACACATACAGTATACATCACATACTGGTAAAACCTCATGGTGGTTGTGGAAAATGTTCAAATATCTGGACAGCTTCGACATTGTAGGCTTAACCATTGATGCTTTCACCAAGTATTTACACAATGATCATTTGATAAATCATCATCAGTAATGTGGGCTTATTGATTTAGTGGGTAAAGGCAAATAATAGAAAAGCTACAGGTCTGGTTAGTTTAGAAAATGACCTAATTGTATTGTATGAAAGCCAGGTAAAGACACACACTTATATCAATCAACAACCTACAGTTGTAGCTGTCATATCATGACTAGTAGCTTAGTCCGTAAGGACTTGGCTTGGGAACTGAAGGGTTGCAGGTTCGAGACCAGATCAGACCAAAACTCAGAGTGTGGGCTGGTAGCTGGGGAGGGGCCAGTTCACCTCCTGGGCACCTCTGAGGAGGGCTTCACTTCACACACCTCTCCACCAACGCATGTGTATAGGTCCTGTGTATTTTGGTCCATTTTTAAAATGTTATGTAATTTAACCAACACCAGGGTTAAACAATGTATTGGAATAATGGAAGTATCTCTTTTTCTGAGTCATATCTCAAAATAAAATGTCGATCAATCACCCAGCCATAATTGATGTGTGTTGATGTGTGTCCAATCTTTGATATGTTTTACTGTTTGTGTGTTTGTGTGCAGCATACCTGCCCCCCTCAGTGATGCTTCCCCCCCCGGCGCCTGCAGACCCTCCTGAAGCAGGCGGTGGAGCTGCAGAGGGAGCGCTGCCTGTACCACAACACCAAGCTGGACAGTGGGCTGGACTCTGTGTCCCTGCTGCTGGACCACGCCTGCAGCCGGTACCCGCTCACTCTGCTGGGAACACACTCATATTTACACATCAAACCAGTTCTGAAGCTTGATTGACGTTGACTATTCTGGGATAATTGGTTTCCTTTCTGTGTGGAAACAATATTAAGTCCACTGAACGTTCTCGATAACCATCTTCATATTCAAAGTTCCAATCATGTTTTATTGCCCTTGAGAATAGAATTGATCAAGTCTGCAATCATTGAAAATGGGCAATTATTGGTAAACCCTTGTATCTGACCATAAACACTAACGTTATGTCTTATAACAATATTGGTACTGTGTGTCCTTATCGCTCTCTTTAGGAAGCAGTTCCCCTGCTACACTCAGCAGATCCTCACTGAACACTGCAATGAAGTCTGGTTCTGCAAGTTCTCCAACAACGGCACAAAACTGGCAACTGGGTCCAAAGACACGACGGTCATATTGTGGCACGTGGACACGGTAATCAAAAGTTACCTATGATCAATGTCACCTCAGAGCAGGGGGAATGTGATTTTTGACTGGTATAACTGTTGGTCAACAGGAAACCCAGCAGCTGAAGTTGATGAAGACTCTGGAGGGTCACGCTTACGGGGTCTCGTACCTGGCGTGGAGCCCTGACGATACGTATCTGATCGCCTGTGGACCTGATGACTGCTCTGAGCTGTGGCTGTGGAACGTTCAGGTACAGCCTCTCTCTGTCAGCTGTCTAGATTGTGTGCAGGGATTGGACGGTTACTTAAAACATTTATTCCATTACCTTATCTAGTTAGTAATGAGTAACCTTATCTAATTTTTACAAAATTAAAGTAATGTAACCTAATTATGTTCCGTTAGACCTTAGAACATTTGAAACCAAGATATTTACAATCGAAAATTATTTTTTTGTATTTGAGTTTTTACTAACATTGTAATCCTGCTGGTAATCCCCAATTTGTACAAATATGCCATTCATCTGATTACTGTACATGTTTGTTCAATTAACTGCAAGGCAATACAGTTAATTTGTATCCTGATAACGTAATCCTATTACATGTAACCCGTTACTCCCTAAGCCTTGCTTTGGTTCCAATTTGTTGCACAGAATCAGGAAATATTTTTCAGTGTAGTTGCACTAAGAAGGATTAACTTCACTACTTGCATAAGCACAAGGAATACCGATTAGTGGTCAGATATGTATGAGAGTTTTGTATTAATACATACTTGTAAAATGTGAGCCTTTCCTTTAAATTCTACTTTTGAATGAATAAGGCACCTGGACCCTGTAAATGCAGTAGGGTGGTCCTTGGTGACATATACATTTTCGAATAGATTTTTGTTAAGCTCCAACCACTGGAAGTTGTTATGATAGTCAAGATTGCTCTCCTGGTGAATTTTATTAAAATTCCAACAACATTTACCCCTCCCACTGTAGAGGAAACTTCTGTGTAGCTATGCAGTGGGAGTCACCGACTCAGGAAGGAGACACGGTAGGAGCAGTAGCTTTGATGTCAAACACATGATGGTTTATTTGGAGTTACGGCCGGAGGATTCACATCACAAGTCCAAGAGTCAGAGGTTCTGACTTCACGGTAGAGTTGCCACGTCAATTCTGGAGAGCCTCTCTCTTGCCAGCCCATCTAACTGGTTTCGCAGAGAGTAAACAACATATTTGAGAAGATAGCCTAAACAGTGTGGGAACACTGAGTTACTTGCGTCGGACACTTATGACCTCGAAGATTTCACCTTGGAGTCCACAAATACAGAGAAGGAAGTGTCCCAGTGTACCCACAACACAGACCATCTGTGACCCAGTATTGACCGGTCACAGAATGGGAACAATAACATTATTGGCTGAAACAGCCTGTGTCCTTAAAGGAGGTAAACAGACATCAAGGTTTGTCCTGTATGTCACATCTTGGCGTCTATGACAATTATTTCCATAACACCCACATCAACCTTGAAGTCCTTCAAATTGAAAGTCGGAAAGTCTAAGCTCCAACCCAATTCACCAGGAGAGTTTTCTTGACTAATAGAAGGAATTCTGGGGGTTGGAGCTTAGACTTTCCGACTTTCAATTTTAACAACCACCCTAAGGTACAGTATACTGCATTCTCATTGCATTCAACCCAAACCCATGGCAACCTGCAGTGAGAAAAGGGGGAACAGTTTCACCCGATGAGAGATGTGCTCTGAGTGTGTTGTCTGATTCATGTTTCTCTTTCCTGGCTTCTGTGTTGTAGACGGGGGAGTTACGCACCAAGATGAGTCAGTCTCATGAGGACAGCCTGACCAGTGTGGCCTGGAACCCCGACGGTAAACGCTTCGTCACCGGGGGCCAGAGGGGCCAGTTTTACCAGT